ATAGATGTTCATGTTTAAAATTTATGCCTTTGTTTAAAGATTCACAATTGGCTTGCTGTATAATTAAGAGTTTTCACAATCTACTCTTGCCTATCTTGACTTCAATAGTGTTTAGAAAACGTTAGAGGAAGATAAGTAGGCAGGTTTGTTTATCCACAATAAAATACACATTTTAGGTTAGAATTGTCCTATCAAATCTAATCAGAGGCCACACAGTTGATTATGTAAAGGCAGAATTTCATCCAGTAACACTTGGTTTAATTGAAAGGGAGACACTTATTTTACTCAGCAATAGAAAATCCAGTATTTCTTAGGACTACAATTTTGTTCATTTAACTTCCTGGCAATAGTTTGATTTAGTTAAAAACTCCTATAGCCAGAAATGTAAAATGTAAGCACCCAGACAGAAGAATCAAGAGGAACAATTTGATCTAATTTGCTATGCCCACAACTTATAATGGAACAATCTTCTGGAGGCGTTCATGAGGCTAGGAGGGCAGAATAAACCCTTTTTCCTGATATAAATACAGGCGACACTGCCATGTGAATGTAATAAATGGAAATCAGATTGTTCCTAGATAATTAGTACCAAATGGTGGAAAACCCAACCTCTAATCTATTGCCAAACCACTAGAACACAGCAAAAAGCAAACAGCACAGTCAAGTAACGGAAACTTCTCAGTGTATCTAAATGACTGTATAAATAAAGACCCAATTTCTAAAACCAATGAAAAGATTTCCACAATTTCAGTATGATACAGAGGTATGTAATATGGGTACTATCAAAGGCTATTTCATTTGGCAGAAAAGAAACCTATGATTGAACCACTGGAGTGGTATTTAGAAGACATGTAAGCATTCTATTTGTTAAGTACAAGCAAAAAACTAGCATGTCAATTTATACATGAGAAAATAGAAATGGTCTTCATTCATCATGCATATGAGGAATTGGATTTAAGTGAAAAAAGATTTGGAATATATATACACATATATATGTATATATGTATACATATATAAAAGATATACAATTTTTGTAGTTAGAAATGTCTTTTAACACTGAGCAAAAAAAAAAAAAAACAAACCAAAAAAACGATACAGTCATTTTGTTTTCTTTAGCTAGAACTAAACTACTCCATAAACTTACACTGAGAAATTGCTAATGGGTATATTGACTAAAATAATAAACAAAAGTCCAGACAATGAAAGAAAAAGAGAAATTTTTTTAATTCAAATACCATACGATAAGCCAAGACCTCCTCCTTGAATTTCAGATAAATATATGCAACATCTAATAAACATCTCCAGTTGGCTGTCCAGTAGTCAGAGTTAACATGAGTAAAAGTGAAGTACTGATTCTTTATTATTCACCTCCCCATAAGTTGTGTCTATTTCAGAAAATGACACCACCAATCCAGATGCTCAGAATAAAACCTTAAAAGACAATCCTCATCCTTTTTTTTCTATTTTGCAGTACCCAACCAAGCATCAGTACATCCTGCAACCTCTACCTCCAAAATAGATTGATAATCAACCTATGCTCATCATCTCAACTGACAGAATTCTATACTAATTTACCCTTCTCCCTCTTCTACTCTACTGAAACAGTGTCCTAGCCTGCTTTGGGAACCTCACTTTGGACTCTTTATAGCCCATGGTACATACAGCAGCCAGATGATCCCAAAATTTCCTGTTTCAAACTTTTGAGTGCCTGCTCAGTGCAATTAAGAAAACAAAACAAACAAAATAAAACAAAACAAAAATCATCAACAACAACAACAAAAACCCTTTATCATGACCCATAGGGCCCTATGAAATCTAAACCCTGACTCTCTCTTCAACATCATTTCCAATTTTCTTGGTTCTTGATTACCATCTTTCAGGTGCAAGGTCTTGTTACTGTTTTCAGCTCTTAACTTTTATCATTCAGGTCTTAAATAAATTGCCACCTGCTCAGAAAGGGCTTCCCTGATAACTAATGCTCAAATTTCATAAGAACAGATATAAAACATTTCTAACTTAATAGAAATTTGCTTTACTGCAGATCCATTGCAAACTATTAAATAAAGGATACCTATATTTTAAATTTATATTTTAATTATTTCTAATTTTATTGTTTTTTAAAGTTATATTTCAAAAGTTTGAATCATTAAAAAATCTTCAACGGAGAAGATATTTATAAACATGGCAATATTTCATATTTACTAAATAATTATAGGTAATTTAATTTTATTTCTTAGTTAATATCAGAAAAATTAAGAGTTCATTTTAACAGATGTAAAATAAATATAGATGCACTTGGTGTTATATTAATTTATTTCACAGCTATGTAACTAAAATTGAAAATAAAAGACAAAAATATTTGGTGATAGGCTCTTCAAAAATTTTTTTAAAACTTGCTAATAAAAACCTATAACAATATTTCAAAACGATTTGAGTTAATCAGATATATTTTAGCAATTTAAAAATGTTGAGTTCATTTTCTTTTAAGAATCAAATAATTTCTTATTTTTTTAAATTTTATTTTATTAGTTTCAAGTACACAGTACATTGACTAGTCTATGTTTTAATTTTTTTTAATGTTTTTATCTTAATGAAGATGTGTACCCTCCAGTGTATCAGCAATTTCAAAAGTCTAATATCTTATTAGACTTTAAAAGCTGAAAAATTATGACAAGCAATTTTTTAAAAGTTAAAATAAAAATACAGAGAGAGATATTACCATGATAAGAGAATATAAGTAGATTATAAATTTATGAGTTATTTGCATGATGATCAATGATGCAATAATTTTTCTACAAGTGTATTACGTGCAAATAGTAGTTTAGAGAAAATGATTTCTCCCTTAAGTCAATCTTTTAGTTATAATCTTTGGAGCATTCTATTAATACACTTTCAGTCCTATGATGAACACAATATCTATAATAATTATTAAACAGCAACTTCAGGAGAGTTAATCCATTTTAATAACTGTCTATTTGAATAACTATCATTTTTTACATAAATGACTCTATCAATGAGAATTACTGAATAAATTAACATATTCAAAGACAGTGTGTGTTCATTTACATATCAACTTTTGTGCTCACTGCTTGTAATGGCTATCTCAGCCAGAGGGTCACAGACACTGACAGGTATCATCTCATTATTCCTCCTGCTCCTTGCCATTTTTGAAGCCAACTTGGTAGCCATGTGATATAACCAAGGCACATGCATAACCCCGCAATCTGATCCATTTTTTTTTCAGTTGCCCTAGTGCTTGTCCAGGGCAGTGTCTACTTTCAGGAGATATAAGAGGGGAGTGTTATTTTATCAACATGCCCCAAATGTCTCTGCTCCTTTCAAATCTACCTCAACATGATATCCTTAGTTTTCCTTCTAGACACAGAGGACATACAATGAGCAAGCTTTGCATTTGCAACCAAAATGGTGATAGATCTTATTTTAATCCTTTGTAAACATAAATACTCAAGTAAAGCTACTTTTCATATGTAATTAATTTTGTGAACAACTATCTTATTTAGATTGCTTGAAAAAGTAACCTCCTCTTTATTATCTCTATATTCCTAGTTATTTCACAGAATGCTTTATAATATGACTTTCAACAAAAGCCAAAAGGATATTGCTCCTTTTTGGGGACCGAGGTTAAAGAATTTTGAGCTGATGATCTGTTCCTTTGAGGTAGAGAGCCACCCCCCCACCCCCAAAAAAGTCATAATCTTGATGAGAAGCAAATAGTAATGGTGGTGAAGAGAAAAAAATAAAAAAGAATATTATAATAAGGCAAAACCTGAAGAGGATGCTCCAGTATCTCACTGTGTATAACAAAGGTACATGAGAATGTAGGAACCTCATTCCCATCCTCTCTTACCTTGGCTGGATCAGCCCTGCTGTCACAAACTATATGTCAGGCAATGGAAATATGAACTGCTTCAGTATGGAAGATGAGAAAGTGTGAGTTTAGAGGATTAAAGTTTTTTGACTCATTTCCAGGGAACACCAAATTTGAAACTCTAAATGTAACTTCTTATAGAAGCATTGCTCATAGTGATGAACTGGTGAAACATTCTAGTACTAGAGCGCTACACACACACACACACACACACACACACACACACACACACACACACACACATATATACATATGTACATATATAAAGTTTTCATTGAGTTAGCCTAGACACTGAACCCAAATGGACTTGCAAATAAAAATTTGCAACAAAAATTCTTTTTGAAAGTTTGCAAATGCTATAATTGTGTTTCAGTTTACAGTAACATGCTGTAAGTTATATATTAAATATCTTCAAAATATAAAATGAAATATACATTTTAATGGAGAATATCAGATAATTCAAAAAAGAAAAAATCTACTAAATATATTTTGCCTAGGAAAAATATTGTTTTAAATTCTATCTCCCTCCAAAAATTTCCCTTATCCAAAATCACAAAATAATGGTATCATACATAGTACTGGGAAAGGAATTCAAATCTACGATAAACCAAAAGCAAATAATTTAACTATAAATGCTTGAGTGTTGTCTGCAAAGATTACTACTCATTTTAGTGTCTGAAATACAACTGTGTCACTCCCAGTGGGAACTTTTACTACATAATATAAAACTGGGCTGCCTTGTTAACAGTTCAATTTCTAGAATAAAGTTCAATACTCCAACGGTAGATTGACTTAGGGCATTAAGTCTAACTTCAGTAAACAGTAATCAATAGGAATGAAAGAAAGAATATGCTACAAAGAGAAAAAGACCAAATTGAGAATTGTTCTAGAAACACAAGTGAAAAGAGCAACATGAAAAAACAACTCTGATCTGAGCTACTTATGTAATTTTAATTTATTAACTTTGTTTAGCACTTTTCATCTCTATTCATGTTTAGTTTTACTGATCTGAGTGTATTACTAGAAATATCTCAGAGCTGATAATCTAGAGATATTTTATCACCATGAACTTTTGTTTCTGAGAAAACATACACATGTTTTATACACTTACTGGAGATGTTGATACCTGGGTTGTTCTTAATTGGTTTTCCAAATCTTGTACTTTGTTTTTAAGTTCCATATTTTCTGTTTCTAAGTCTTGAATCTAAAAAGCAAATGATTATTGTATAACCTTCAGAAATTTACTCTTGGAAAATATTGGCTTTTATAATGGCTACAATAATGAATTGGACTTCATATTATTTAAAACTTTAATACATTCTTTTGTGCACATGAGAGAAAATTATTTGATAAAGCTTGGGAAATAAAGAATTCTAGGTCACTTGAAAGACATATGATTAAATTTAAAGTATGTTTTCACATGTGTGCAAAATTCATGTTCCTAATACCTCATCTCTATGTTTTCTTGTTGCACTGTGCAATCCGTACCCATAATCTTGGAGTATAACCACAAGACAGTGAAACTTGCTTATGATGATTTTGAAGAGAATGGAGAAAGGGTATAATTTAATTACAAAGGAATCTGATCTGCATGGGAAACCACTTACCCAGCATCTGCTGTTTCTGCTGCTCTGATCCCCATGAGAAGCATCAGGAAGTGAAGCAAAGTCACATGAGAACACTAAGTTCTTGTGGGAATTCAATATAAAATGGTTAAAAACTGTGCAGGGGATCAGGAATGAAAAATTATAGGAACACAGTGAAAGCAGTTCCAATCAGTGTGGGGGAAATTTAATGGCAGGCCTTCTAAATTTGTTTGATGATATGCAAGTTTCCCTGTATTTACATCACATAAATGTGAAACAAGTTTAGTTTACTCACTCTTTTCTGTAACCCTGCAATCTGTTTTCTTGTTTCAACATCTTTTCCTCCAGATTCTAGAAATTTCCTGTATGCCAGGTCAAATGCTTGGCCGATTGTTAAAGTTATCTCTTCAGCCTTTGTAAAAATAAAACAAAGATGATTTGCATTTCAATAATAATATGTCAGACTATTCTTTGAATCAAGAAAAACATTCACATGAGGTACTTCAAAAGGGCAATGGCTGAGGGTAGAAGTGTAGTAATTGAACAAAGTTGGCTCTGCTAACAAAATAATTAAATGCCTACCCATGCACAACATAAAAAAAAAAAATGTCTTGGCAATTAAATGAATAGCTGTTGAAATTGAAAGCAAGAGTCCTGTCCCACTCCTCATCTCTTTTATCACGGTATTTTTTTTCCTAGTTTGTTTTCCTCTCTTCCTCAAATACTTAGTGCCTATCAAATGAAAGCATAGTGTCAACTGCGGTTTCTCTCATTGCTTTGCTACTTATTTCCTCTTCCTAGTGAGGAGGGTCTGTTAAACCTGGCAAGTAGCTTGAATGAGGTTGTCTGGGTGGTGCTGTAGAAAACTTGAGATATGCCCTCTCTAAATGGAGCAACTGCTGCTCAGTTCCAGTTAATTGTTGGCTTGTGGAAATAAGCAATTCTGACACAGAGCTGTCAGATTTTAAATATGTGAGATGAGGTCATAAATCTGAATCTTTATATGAAAGCTCCCAATTTTAAGTAAACATTATTTTTGTAAAACACTGTTGATTGAACAATATATATCTATCATCTGTATTTGAACTGGTAAACAATTTACAACTTGAAACTGCCACAAATATTCTAAATCCGCCTGGTCATTTCTTCTTCCTTCATAACTCAACTGATATAACAGTGTCTTATACAATGTAAACATTAAAGGTTTATTTACTTTATTAACATTATAAACAAATTTAGTAAATAAATTAACTGAATTCATCACAAATACATCACATTCAATTCTAAGAACTTGACATGACATAAAAACTGCTAGTAACATTAAATCTTGAAAGTACTATGCTTTCACTAATCTACTGCAAATCCTAAAACTTTCTGCTATGCTACAAGCAATCTAAATTAAAACTATGCTTTATTAATAAAGCTTAGATTTAATTAAGAAATTGTAATTTTTGTAGTTCACTATTTGTTTAAGAAAGACTTTTAGCCATAAAAATATATATATATTCATAGCATTCAACCCAGTTAACTAAAAAAGGCAAAATAAACATCTAAATTACATTGCAAACTGTCTCATGAAAAAGCAGAAAAAAGAAATGTCTTTTTAATTTGTAGTTCCCTTATTGTATTAGCCTAGTTTCATGAATGACTAAGCTAAGGGGATCCATTTAAATTCAAAAAACTTTATTTCAAAAAAATGTTCTCAAAGCAAACGTGAAATCTAACAAGAATATATAATAAATAGCTTACAAATAAATACACCTGATAAAAAAGACTGAATGCAATGATTCCTTCTAGTAATAATAATGTATGATTCTTTTGACACATGAACCTTTCTTTACAATTAGTTAATGAGAGAAGTTTTAAACTTTGCATTATTTTATATTTCATTTCACATAATTAAAAGAAAACATGTAGGTCTCATCAGCTTGTTGGGGCTACTATTTAAATTTTATCGAGTGCAATATCCAGTGAATAAAATATATGTATTAACATTCGAAAACAAAATTGTAAAAAATACAAACTATCAAAATGATGACTAAACAGTTGACAGTGACTATCTTTCTCTTAAAATAACCAAATCAACCACATTATAATATGTACTCATAGTCTAATTTTATTTTGTAAACTTATGAGTATAGAAATTGTGTAAATATTAAATCTTAATAATATGATATGATGATACTAATAAAGTGAGTTCCAGTTTCTTAGCATACTAAGATAAGCCATCTAAATTTCAAACAAGTTCTTAGAAATTCACAGAAATACTAACTATATCAAATACAACAAATGAATAGAATGAAGAGCAGAAGGACTCCAGAGAAGTCACAATCATACAGGTAATATAATATGACAGGAAGAATGTAAAAATAGGAATCTAGGGTCTTGGATTGCAGTTCTGATTCTGTTGCTATATAGCTTTGTGACTCTGGAAAAGGCACTAAATCACTCTGACCTAGATTTATTTAAAATGTGATCAAAGGGTTGGTCTAAAGAGTTCAGAATTTATTTTCCAGTTTTTTTTTGGAGTAAACATTTAATTTTGCAATAATTTTAGATTTATATAGTTGTAAGAAATAATACAGAGAGATCTTGTATACCCTTTAAACACTTTCTCCCAATGTAAGACATAAAACTATCGTGCAAATCACAACCGACTTAGTATTGTCAAGATATAGAATAATTCCATCAGCATGAGAATCCCTCATCTTGCTGTTTATAGCCACATCCTCTTCCTCTCTATCCTACCCTGTCCTTAACTCCTGGAAAAGACTAATCTGTTCTCCATTTCCATAATTTTGTCATGTCAAGACATTATACAAATGGAACATACAGTATGTAAGCTTTTGGGACTGACTTTTTTCACAACATATCTGGAGAGTCATCAAGTTGTCATGTATATTAACAGTTCATTCCTCTTTACTGCTGATAGGAAGTACTCCATGGTTTGAATGTACCATTGTTTGTCGAACCATTCACCCATTATCTAGGGTTTTGTAGTTTATGACTATTATGAATAAATTTCTATATACATTTTTGTGTAAGTGTTTGTGTGAACATAAGTTTTGATTTCTCTGGAGTAAATGCCTAAATGGGTCATACAATAGTTGCATGTTTCATTTTGTATAAAAGTGCCAAAAATTTTCCTTAGTGGCTGTACCATTTTATATCCTCACCAAAAATGTACACATAATCCATTTTCTCACATTTTTACCAGCATTTAGTATTATCACTTTTTTATTTTAGCCTTTCTGATGGATATCTCACTTTGATTTTAATTTGCATTTCTCCGATGGGTACCAATGGTAACATTTTTTCATATCCTTATTTGCCATCTGACTATCCTCTTTAATGAAATGTTCCTTCATATCTTTTGTTCATTTTCCAATTTGATAAATTGTTTTTATGCTGTTGATTTTTGAAAGTTCTTTATATATTGTAGACACTAGTCTAATATCTGATACAAGTTTGCAAATATTTCCTCCCAGTCTTAGCTTGTCTCCTTATCCCCTTCATAAGGCCTTTCACAGAGAAACTGTTTATTTTTGATAAAGTCAAATTTGTCGCTTATTCCATTTACAGATCCTGCTTTGGGTGTCTAAGAACTCTGTCCAGCCTGAAGATTCTCCTTGTGTTTTGTTCTAAATGTTTTTTATTGTACATTTTACATTTAATCCATGATACATTTTCAGTTAATTATTGTAAAAAGTGTGAGGTTTAGGTCAGGTGTATTTTGCTTGTCCATGGAGATCCAAGTTTACCAGCACCATATGTTGAAATGGCCATCTTTTGTATTTGCATCTGTTATGTTGCTTTTGTACCTTTGTCAAAAATCAGTGGGGTATATTTGTGTGAATTGATTTCTGTGATCTCTATTCTATTCCATTAATGTATTTATCTATTCTCTCACCAAAACTAGTCTTAATTACTTTAAGTGTATAATAAGTCTTGAAATGGGGTAAACTGATTTATTCCATTTCTTCCAAACTGTTTTAGCAATTCTAGTTCATTTGCCTTACCATATACATTTTAGAATGATCTTATCTATATCTAACAATAAATCTTGCTATGAATTTGACAGAAACTGTGTTAAACCTGTACATTACTTTGGAGAGAACTGATATATATACTAGACAGAGTCCTTGAATCCATAAACATGGTATATCTATTTATTTACATCTCCTTTTATTTCTTTCATCAGTGATTTATAGTTTTTGACATACAAGTCTTATACAAGTTTCACATGTTAGGTTAGGGTTATAAATATGTACTTTTTAAAGTAATTGTAAATTTTGTATTCATGTGTTCATTGCTAGCATATAGTAATACAATTGATGTTTATATGTTTATTATGTGTTCTGCCACCTTACTGAACTCACTTAATAGACCAAGGTATTTTTTGTAAACTCATTTGGATTTTCCCTGTAAATAATCATGTATCTGCAAAAAAAGGTCTGTTTTATTTCTTCCTTTATAATCTGTATGCTTATTTTCTTTTCTTGCTTTATTGCAATGGCTAGAACTTCCAGGACTGTGTTTAATAACAATGGCTGAAGTAGAAATCCTGGCCTTTTTCTGAATATTAGGAAGAAAGCATTCAGTTTTTCACCATTAAGTTAAATATTATCTATAGTTTCAATTTTAAATGCTCTTTATCAAATTGAAGAATTTACCTTATAATCCTATTTTCTGGCAGTACTTAATCATAAATAGAATTTGATTTTTTTCAAGCATTTTTAAAGCACTAATTATATGATCATATGATTTTTCTTTTTCATCCTGTTACTATGGCTGGTTACATTGTTAGATATTTGAATATTGAACAAGACTTGCATGCTAAGAGCAACCTCTACTTCATCATTGTATATTATTATTTTTATATTTTGCTGCATTATATTTGCTAATAATTTATTAGGAATCCTTGCATATACATTCTTAAGGGATAAAATTTGGTCTGTAATTTTCTTTCTTTTATGCACTATGTCTTGTTTTGCTATTAGAAAAATAATAGTTTCATAAAATGAATTGAGGAGTGCTCTCACTTCTATTTTTTGAAATAGGTTGTATAGAATGGTAATTCTTTAAGTATTTTATAGATTCCTCCAGTGAAACCATCTAGGCCTGGCGATTTCTCTTTTAATAAGTTTTAAATTATAAGTTCAATTTCCTTTATAGTTATGGGGCTGTTCAAATTATATATTTAATATTAGGTGATTTAATGTAGTTTTTGTTTCTTGAAAAGTTAATTCAATTAATCCTTGTCATCAAATTTATGTGTATAGCTATTTATAGCATCTTATTATTCTTTTGCTATCTGGAGGGTCGGCAATAAAAATCTCCTATTTTATTCCTGACATTGGTAACTTGTGTCTTTCCTTTTTTTTTTTCTTTGCCAATCTTACTACATTTTTGTTACTTTTATGATCTTTCAAAGAACCAGCTCTTTGTTTCATTGTCTCTATTTGTTTGTTTTTAATTTCATTAATTTCTTTTTTACCTTTCTTATATTCTTCCTTCTGCTTACTTTGAATTTATTTTGATATTTTGTTTTCTAGGTACTTGAGGTGGGAGCTTAAATTATGGATTTGAGACATATTTTTTCCTAATGCATTAACTTAGTTTTATAAATTTCTGTCAGCATTATTTTATCTATAGCACAAAAATGTTATGTTCTATTTCATTTACACATAGTTCACTGCATCATAAATTTTTTCCTTTGTAAATTCCTCTCTGACAGATGGAATGTTTACAAATGTGACATTTCATTTACAAGTATTTCAAGATTTTTCTATGATTATTCTATTATTTTTTTAGATTGATTTCTTTGTTGTTCTTTCTTAGTTGCTTCAATTCTTTTAAATTTTTGAAATTTATTTTATAGCTCAAGATATGGTCTATTTTAGTACTGGTGTTTTCTTTATATCTTCTACTCCTTTGCTTAGATTTTCTATTTCTTTGATAAAATTTTCTTTAAAAAATTGTATTAGTTTTGAACATAATTTTTCAAAATTATCTTTATGATGTCTCTTTAAAATCTTTGGTAATTCTAATATTCTCTCATCTCAGTGTTGGGATCTATTGGTCATCTTTTTTATTAATTTAGTTTAAGATCTTGTTTCTTGATATCCTGAGTGATTTTTAATTGAATACTGGGTACTTTACATATTATCTGAGACTCTAGAAATTATTTAAACTTTTTGTTTTGGGTGGTTCACTCTCATAGATTTTCAGTAGGAGAATGGGAATGGGAGAGCACTGCCTCATCACTGCCTTGTGGGAATAGATGTTCAGCTTCCTCACTTGGCCTCTCTTTATTACTGCTTGGCAAGGCTTAGTACTTTAGCTCCCTATGTGATCTTCATTGTCACCACAGAAGGAGGAAGACTCATTAACACAACATGATGCTGTTAATAAAGTAGTGAATTCCAGCCTCATGGCACATTATGATAGATGCCATCTATCTTTCAACTCTCAACAATTTTACAGAAGTACTGAAAAGATAAAATGAGGAGATAAGACAAAGGCCTCATTAAAAGGAGATGGACTCTGGAACAGGTCAGTTATGAGAATAATACAGCATAATGCAACAAAAGCTTCAATGGCAATCTAATGTCAAATTTTAATCTTGATTCTGTCACTCTAAGATTAGTTGTTTAAAATTAAAATTAAAGAAATTAGCATATCAAAAATTCTATGTACATGTCAAAATCAATTTTATAAATATAGTTATTGTTATAATTACAGCAAATAAAACCTTGAGGTGAATTTAACATAATGAAACTTTGAAGAAACATGTCTTCTTTGGGCTCATGAAAGTGATGCTGATTGTAGTTGGAGAGATATCTTGGATCCTTTCAAAGCCCAGACTTCCGTCTGCCTGAAGCAGAATCACTTGGTGAACTTATTAAATGTAGATTTCCTGAGCTCCAGCCCCAATTAATATGAACTTATTTTTTGAGGGCTTTATTTTCAAGACCCTTCTTATGAATATTATGCAAAATAATGGTTGTGAGCCACTGCTATAGGCTTCAAGAAATTATTTTCAAACTTCAAGAAAAAAAAAAAAAAAAACACTAATAGGCTATATCCAAAGGAAATAATGGATCAAGAAGTTGATCTCGAGATAATCATGCTAAGCATAATAAGCTAGACAGAAAAAGTTGAAAATCACATGATATCACTTATATATGGGATATAAACCTAAAAGCAACAAATGAGCAGGACAAACGAACAGAGACTCATGGACATGGACTATAGACTAGTGGTTATCAGAGGTTAGGGGGTGAGGGAGGAAGGGGGAGGTAGGTGGGAAAAAGAGGGTCAAATATAGTGGAGTAGGGGGAAGGCGAAGTGAGTAAAGGGGATCAAATATATGTTAGCTAAAGGAAACTGGACTTTGGGTGGTAAACACACAATAGAACATATGGATGTTAAATTTAATGTACACCTGAAAATTATATAATTGTATTTACCAATGTTACCCCAATAAACTTAATAATAGAAAAAAAGAAATAAAAAAATTGAAATTCAGGAAATCAAGTATAGACAATTATGATCGGGAGGAAACAATGTAACTACACAGTGGCAAAAGATTATTCTATCTTACACATACATCTATTTTAATTTTCTCAATCACATGGAGAAAAACATGCAAACAATCATGGTTAAGAAGCACTTGGAACATTAAATATAATGCATTCATTCAATAGGATAAATTTAAAAAACAACTTGAATTTCATATGAAATTGCTTATCATGCACATAGTATTCCTTATATAAGTAAGCATATTTTTCTGATGTGTTATTCCATAATGTTCATAAAATTCTCAAAAGATATTTTGACATCAAGTAGCTTAGCACATTAGTTTGCCTTTTTAGAGCCTTATAATTTAAAAGATACAGATAACTTGTTCTACATTTTGCAAATTTTTCCAAATAGTATTTTTTTAAGGAAAAATTTACAGAGCATATATTGTCCACCTGACGTGGAAGCTATATGGACAAATAAAAAGATATTTGTTTTGAAGGTCACATACCAAAACCAGAAATAAATTACATAATAGTGATAATAATATTAGTCCTCTGGTATTGTTGACAGCATGAAAAATGAACAAATAAATGAATTAAGTTCTTTTTCCTGTTTAAGCCAAGAATGTTGTTGAGGTTAGATGTTCTTCCTTCACTAAAGACACCAATGCTGCAATGTGTGCTTAAAATTCACAACTACGTTTTAAAACAGGTCCTCGGACTAGGTTATGATTAGCATTAGCTTATGCTTATAATCAAGACACAGGGTTTTCCTTAAAATTCCAGAAGATGAAAGAACTATGGCAGAACTTAACTTTGGAATTCCCTGATTGTTCTTACTTACTAAGAACTTTAGATTACATTCACAGGCTAATATGCATGTATTCATGTAGCACACAAATGCACATACAATTCCATTACCTTTCATTTAAATTAAGTTTTCTGAATAATGAAAGTTAAGAAACATATTTTCAAAGTATTGGAGATTTTTTTAAGGATCCATACACTTTTCATTTCCTTGCGTTTAAAATATTTATTTTCAGCAGATCAATTATATTATAGAAAAAATAGCTTTGCTCACCATTACTCTTTGCATTATGTACATATTACTAACTCATATTTAATATTCATATTGCAAATAAATTAAAAGATTATAAGAGAAATAAATGCATAAGATAAGCAGGCATGACATTCTAAGAAGAAATTCGCACGCAAGCTTGTGCCCCCGAACATGAGAATTTAGTTAAGGATGAAATCCTGAAGCGTATTTTCATGACAGGATGGATCTATTAGTGTAGCTAAGTATTTGCAGGCTTTATTCATTTCCAAATACTTTACTAATGCCGGAAACAAGATAATTCCTGGCTTGTAAAACAGCACAAACCACCCTAAAACATCTGGCATACTTACACACTTTTCGCTGTCAAATACATAGCACAAATGTTTATTTGACTCAGAATCTTTGCATATGAAAGTGAATATCCTCTTGTCAGTTTTATCATCTGCACAAAATGATATTCTATGAAGCTGGCAATTGTGTTGGACTTCCTGTGAACACATGTAGAAATAAACATAGTTGAGTTTTTTTTTCCATTTTCTGAAATGCTAGCTAGTGTTAAGAACATACAACACATGACTTTAAAAGCGAAACAATATTCTGTCAAATTTTGATTTTATAATTACATATACCCCAAGCTTAAACAAATACATAATGGAGATGAACCCCTTGACTTAGGATAATCATTTCAATGGTACTTAGAAAAACACGAACAAAATATGAACGGATCAGAATTTCATGGGTTTTCAGAGCTTGCTGACATTTGATATATCATTCTTACTCACTTTACTGTTTATCAGACCGAAATGAGATACACAAATAAATGCTGAGAGAATTTGTCTACAGCAGTGCATTCTTTCCCTGCATACAAACCAAATTGTAAGTCATCAAAGGGTTGCTTGGCAAGCACGAAAATTAAAATGAGGAAGTATATTACATGATTGTCATTTTTTTGTCATTACTAGATAGACTGATCCATCCATTTCAACAGCAGGAAGGAACATGCTAAAAAGAAGGGCTTAACCTACTAAAGCTTTGGATGAGAGCATCTTCTCTTTCTTGTGTCAGTGCTGAGATGAACAATGACCACATCTGTCTGAAACTGTCCTATACTTTGTCTGATCGACAAGTCTCTTCTTATTGACATTTTTGTTTTAATGTTAATACAGTCAATCAAACAATAGCCTTCAGTTGCATCGTAGCTCTCAAATAGTGATAGCAGGTCTACATCAGTTTATTAATTATACGATCATGTTAATGATACATAAAGAGGAACTATCATTACTATACGATACAGAAAAAGATGATTTTTTTTCCATGTATAAAAGGAATAAGTAATATGAAAACATACCATTCACATAGTTGGTGGTGGAACCTATGCAATTCTTTCATTAATTCACGTACCAGTATGATCTCAGAAAGCCTTTGGTTATAAAAGCTGGGAATCACCTTCATTTGTTTAGATTAGCAGAAGTATCGTCCTAACAAAAGAAGACTAAGGAGCTGAAAATTACAATTTTATATTATTTGTGTGGGATTTTTGTTGTGATAGATCTTTATGGATTTTAAATGCATAGTACTAATTTTTTGTTGAGACAGGATAAAGACTTGGGAACACAATAAACTATCGTGAGAACACATTTATCCTTTAATATTGATGACATTTTATTGGAATTGGAACAAAAAGTAAATAAACCCTCAATTCACCTATAATACCTCTTCCTAGCACAGCATAATCTTCATTTGGAGGACAAGTGAGAAAAGCAGAAAGGGGAAAACACACAGAAAGCTACTGGAGCCAACTGAGATTGCTTTTTACTTCCATTTTCATCCATCCATATGGGATTGAAAAAGTCTATTTCTATCAAGTCCATGTTAGATTAATACTGAATTTTTAAATCCTACCTCCTATATATTTTACTATAAATAAATTAGTCTGAGGAGCAGATATTTTTCCCCTAAATTACAACTTTTACCCAAAATAAAATGAATGGCAGATATTTTTTGGTTCACTCACATCTCCTCAATGGTTCCTAAATGCGTATCTATGAACAGGTTGCATCAGAATCACCTGGTAAGGTTTTGTTTGTTTGTTTGTTTGTTGTTTGTTAAAATACAGATGTTAAGTCTTGTTTTGCAGATTCTAAATCTGAAAGGCTTAGGTGGATTCTAGCAATAGGCATCTATAATCTCCTAGGGGCACTGATGCGCAGAAGAGCTGCTATGGCTCTGTTTCAGAGTACCCACAGTTTTTTATGGATTCAAAAAATGGTACATTCTATGCGCACGCTAAAAGTAAGATATTCTATGTTCATATGTAATATATGGGTAAAGAGTCAGTTGCTCTCTGTTCATATGTAATAAAATTGAATTTATAAGACATTTCAAAGATTTTAAAACTTCAGATAGCTCTTCAAGTTTGGTAGGAATAAAAACAGAGATGCTTTTTTCCCATTAAAAGCTTAGATAACTTACTTTTTGGGGGGAAATTCTATTGGGCCTTTTGAAAATTAGCTATCAAGTATAGAAAATAGATACTTTGTGACAGAAAAGAAAAGCACTGGTGTTATTGATTTGGGTAAAGCAAAATACGGTGATCAAAAGTCAGTTGTATAATTACATTGAGTTGAATCCTACCTTGTTGATGTTTTGTAAATGGGGTTTAGGTTGGGGGAGGTATGGAGATTTGACAGTAAGAGTTTAGGGAACAGAATGATGTGGTTGACAGGCTGTTTGCGGAAACTCATTATTATAGGAGACTGATGGGGAATTCTACAATCACCAGCTGATAATATTATGTTACATTTGCATTCACATGATCCATCCCTGTCTCTGCTCACCATTACTTTTTGCATTATGTACATATTACTAAATCATACTTGAGATTATAATTAAAAATAAATTAAATGATTATTAGTGTTAGTGATCTTATAGTATCTTTAAATCTTTATATTTTGTGCTTTTGTAAGGATATGCCATTAAGAAACTATCAATTCTAAACACTAAAGAAGTTTTCTCTATATACTGCATGTAATCATATTTGCACTTTTTAAATACTTAAACTTTGTATTAATTAATGAAAAATTTGAAGCATTATAATGTTCAATAACAATATAATGTTCAATAACAATATAATGTTCAATAGCATGGTTTTATAGATTATAATGCATAGATTATGGTATTGGTGAAATTTTTATAGTTTAGGATATATTATGGGTAGGCTCAAATCAAAAAGAACAAGAACACATGTAAATGATACATAAAGTGTATTATCATATTTCAAGGTGTAGTTTGACAAGTCCTAAAGATTCATGTAAGAAACTGAGTTAATAATTAATTGTACACGCATACACTCCAAAACAGTTATAGGATCTATATGGCTTAGAAGAAGCTTTAAACATGGCCTACAAATGACGTGTTCTGGCTGAACATTAGCTACATAATTTTAAAAAGGAAATGTAGGACTAGGATTATTATTATTTTTAAATTGTGCATAAGACTATACTTTGGTTGGTATGCTTTTGGTTGCAGTGTTACTTTTATTATTCCCACAACCTACCGTTCTTTTGTAACTACCATTTGCTTAATGAATTCATCTCAGCCAACCCACCTGTTCAATAGATAATGCCTCACTTTTAATGGCCTTGTTTCCAAGCAAACTATACACATACCGCACGCACACACACACACACTATATTCAATTATATGCTTGAATAGAAACGTCCACTATCCTTTCACTACTTCTTTGTCTGCTTTCAGCCACCTCAGCAGTAGTTATTTAAGGATAGCTATAAACAAATAGTGTCCAACTTTTTGTTACTTAATACTAAATGTGAATAACAGGAAGAAATTAGACGGGATAGTTGTGGGAGGTCTTATATTCATGGCTGGAAAGTCTGAAGGAATGTCATTCATTGTTCTTTAATTTGGAATTGAACAATAACTGTGGGTGCACCCATGCCATAGTCCAGTTATCCTCAAATACATTAAAAATGCAGAATTTCCACAGAGATTCTGATTCTTTAGGCTAAGACAGGGCTTTAGAACTTAATTTTGCAAACGGCTCAGGTATTTTTAATGCAAGTACTCCATGGACTATAATTCGAAAATGTGGGCTACTGATGTAGCCAGCAGACTACGACTACACCGGAACTCCTTGAATTCAGCGTACATAAGAATCACTGTATTTCTTCTTAAATTGCAGATTCAGATTCAGTAGGTCTGGAATGGGACCTGAGATTCTACATTTCTAACAAGCTCCCAGATGATGCTGGTCCACAGACACCACTGTTAGGGATGGTATGCACATAGATGAAGGTATCAATGGCAAATACTGGACTGGTGTAAAGCTGCAGAACTGTGGAAAATAGTCTCATAATCCGTTTACAGGTCAGGGTTTCCTTGATGATTTCAAATTGAATTAATTTATCAGTAACCATGCTACAGTGTTAGAGGAAAGCACTCGCATTATGTATTTGTAAAATAATTGGAGTTGAATGTTAATCAATTTTTCCAAAGTGATGATCATGGTCTTATCAAAATTTCTAAACAATAATTTTAGGCATTGCAAATAAAGTACTATATTAGTTTGCTAGAGTTCTCATAACAGAATACCACAGACTTAGTAGCCTAAATAACCAAAATTATTTTCTCACAATTCTAGAGGCTAGAAGTCCAAGATCAAGATGTCAGCAGGTTTGGTTTCTGCTGGAGTCTCTCTCAGCTTGCAGATGGCTACCTTCTTGTTGTGTCTTCATATGACCTTTCCACTGTGCTCATGCATCCTTCATGTTTCTCCCTTTTTAAATAAAGACACCAATCACATTGGATTAAGGCCCCATTTAACTTCAACCTTAAAGGCCCTATCTCCAAATTCAGTCATATTGGGGGTTAAGAGCTTTCACATAGGAATTTTGGGTAGGAACAATTCAGTCCATAATGAGTACATATTAATAAATGTGAAGCCAGAATAGGTTTTATTAAAATTTTTTCATTGGATTTTTAGGGAAAAAGGCTCTTAAATATAAGAAGTTTAAGTTTATACTGTGTTAATGGGCTGAATTGTGTTCCCTTCAAATTCATGTGTTAAAGCTGTAGGCCCTCGTACCTCAGAATGTGACTGTCTTTGGAGATAAACACTTGAAGGAGGTGATTAAGTTAAAATGAGGTCATTAGGGTGGTTTCTTATCCAATCTGACTGGTGTCCTCAAAAGAAAATTGGACACACAAAGAGACGCCAGGGGTGGTGTATGTAGATGACCATGTGAAGAGGCTGCAAGATAGCAGCCACCTGCAAGCCAAGGAGGGAAGCCTCAGAGGAAACCAACTTCAACATTCAGAATAGTGAAAAATAAATTTCTGTTGTTTGAGACATCAGGTCTGTGGTATTTTATAATGGCAGCCCCAATAAAATACACAGTGATGATGTCTACAGGCAATAAGAGTCAGTCCAGGATGTTTTAAGAAACAACACACAGCTTTTGTCTTCTCTTATACTCAGTGAGCCATACTTTATGCATCTCTTTCACAGCAAGTGAAGGAAAATTCCTAAATATAAGACTAAGTACTACTGAATGCACTTAATATAAATTATTACATCTCAAACACAGGATGAAGAACAGACCACTCAGAGCATAATTCCAAAAGTTGTTTTTCTTCCTAAATTAAATATCCTAGTTTTACATGATCATTAACTGAGAACTAAATAGTTCCAGTTGGTAAGATATTTTATTTATTAAAATAGGAATATAATTACAATTAATTAAATATTAGAGTGCTTCTGACATTCAAAAATAAGCCTTACCTTTGTTTTGGGTTCTAGAATTTTTACTCCATAAATTGATATCTGCAACTCAACTTTAGGAATTTTCTGGCCTTCAGATTTCTTGATATGCCTTGCAAACTACAAATGAAATATTATTCACAAAACTGTAATTCTGTTTCTATGGAGAATGAACATGAACAAATATATAGAGTCTGAATTCAGTGTTGAACTTTCATGAAATTATTGCCCATTATAAAATATTTTATGAACAACAAATAGCTTTAAAATTTTAGAAATCAAAGTAACTTACCATTATCATCATTAAAATCAGATTACTTTTTAATAACTTTTAAAAAACAATTTTAATGTACTTCTTTCATGGTATTTTAAAAATTGTATTCATATCAGTTGAGAAAAAGAAAAATCTTTTGGGGAAGATAAGCAGAGATAAATTATTTTGTCCTGGGGATCTCTTGATTTTAATACCATTAGAAAACTTGAAGTCCACCAGTGCTGGATGTGCCATCTTTGCAATTTCTAGAGACTCACCTTGTTTGGTATACAGTCTTACCTAACCAAACCAATGAATAAAAGGAGACCGATTACTATATTCAAACTGAAGCTAAGAAATGATGTAATTATTCCAGCTAAAATATAGTACTCAGAGTTAGACTCAGCCTAGAATTACAAATGTAGTGAGTTTCTTGAAAACGTAAACTTTTTTTAATGCTTTCATAGTAGTACTAATTGTATCTTCTTAAGTGTATGAAAATGCTTGTTAGGTTCTGTTAAAAAAATCAAAAAGAAAGTCAGAATAATCATGTACTTAAGCATATGAAATGTCTGCCTCTCTGATAGCATTGTCAGATTTAGTGCCAGAAAAAAAATTACAGGAGCCCAGTTAAATATGAATATTAAACTATGTATACATTTTTAAACTTTTATCATTTTAGAGTACACATATACATTCTATATGTATACATACATAACACATATATGCTATTTAATATAAACATATCCCACACAATATTTGAAACATACTTATACTAAAAAATTATTCATTGTTTATCTGAAATTTAAAGTTTTCTGAGTGTTCTGATCTGTCTAGCAATGCTTTTCTCTCCCTACATTCCCTCTTTCCTCCTTTCCCCACCATTTTAAGAAATGAAAAAACCTATTGAAAAGAATAGGATTTCTTAGTCCACTTTTAGAACTTCCAAACATCATTTCCTAATATAGCATCTTTTCCGCATATGATCATCTTAAACTGACTCAAAATAGATTGCACATAAGGCAGGGTAGGGTTTCAGTTTTCTTTTGTGTGTCATATTTACTTGCATTGTGCATTTCTCTCTAATTTAGGGCAGATGTGAATACACATGGTATAGTTCAATCCTGGAGCAGAGAGTGGATAAGGCCTTTTTTTTCTTTTCATGGCCTTGCTCTGACATAGAGAATAATATAATTAACGCATGTACGAATGCCTTGAAGTGTCTCCCTTTATATGCCAGGGGGAGTGTCTCCCTTTATACCCATTTTAGGTGGTATAACTTTTTAGCTTGCTGTCTGTTATGTTCTATGAATGTAGGCAGCTTTCTTTCTTTCCTTTCTTTCTTTCTTTCCTTTCTTTTGTATCCAGCATTCTTACATTCTGCACATGAATTCTAGCAATATATGCCAGAGAATTTTTTTGTCTTCGAGAAAATTGTTTTGCTTCAGTGAAAACTGTTAAAAATTATCCCGGCTCTCTCTCAAAGAAAGTGGATTAATTTTGTTTCTCTTCCCTTCATAATCTCCTTCTTGCATTTGCATAATTAAAACAATTTGGGGAAGTTCACATATGAAGGCTTAAAAAATCCATCTATGTGAATGAACATGAACAACCATTCCCATCCCGGGCTGCGGAAACACTCAAAGCTACAGTCCTAGGGGCTGTTCTTCTCCAGAAACAATGAGCAGTGGCTCTTGAGGCCTTTTTCACATCTGGACACAACCACTCCTGTGACCTCTTTTAGTTTCCAAAAAGTCTATCACAAAACAACTGTTAATATTAAACTTATCTGTTGAGATATTTCTTTTCTGCCAGGAAAAATAAAGGGAAGAAATAATGGGAGAAATGAAGAAAGGAAGTAAATAGGGACTGGAGGTAGAAAAAACAAAGAGAGGAAGAGAAGAGGAAACAAGAGAAAGAGATAAAGAAAGATAAACATAAAATATCTGATCTAAGGCATGTGAAGCCTTTTTCTCTGCTTCATAGCAAGATGAAGCAATTGTGTTCAAAGATTCGTAGGTCATCCAGTCTAATACCTTGGTCAATAAAATGGGTCTGCAGCAGTCAGACCTACAACCTAGTTGTGCAGCTACTCATCACTAAATAACTCTTTTCTTTTGCACAACAGATTTTCTTTATTTAGAAAATGAACTTCCCAGTTCTATTCTCACGTGTACCAAGGTTTATACTGGTTATTGACCTTGACTGTTGAGTAAATGTTGCAAGACACTCATGCTTAAGGTTATATTCATTCAATCTGTATTTTAGACAGAGTATAATATTCTCATTCAACCCATTTTTCTGAAATTTAATATTACTGTATTCTATAGTTTGCATGTTCCCTCCAACTCCAAGTCTCTTCTCTTACTTGTAGACCTCTTAACTGCATTCCAAAACACTTGTTGAAACTTCTATGTTGAAGACATGCTCATCATTCTAACTTACAGTACAGTCTTTTCTCTCCCTATTTACTATTTGAAGATTAACGCTTAAAGACATTTTTTGCAAATTTCTTTCAATTTTAGCTTAAGGGAATTCATTGTTTGATCTTCTAAATAGTGTTCTACCCTTAAAACTTGCATGTAATTATCCAATAAAAATTATTTAAAGGGGAGTAAAGTTTAAACATCTTGGAGAATAGCTGGTTACAACAAACAAAAACAAACTTATCACCATAAAATGACGGGAAAGATGAAGTATTACTCAAAATGCATAAAGTACTTAGTAAAATATATGTCCCTGGCAGTAAGCAGAAGAGCTAAAGAAAACTTAAAGGAGCACTACTGAGTTTAAATGTCATCACCACACAATTTGTATTCATTTCTCAGAGTACTTTTGAAAAAATGAAATCTAACTATATAACTAATGAAATATACATCATTAGGCAAGAAAATTAATAAATTTTTCACTTTGGGCCAAATAGTCTGAGCTATTATTCCTCTTTGTGGTTCTTATATTTAATTGTTAATTTATTCCTATAGGGAATATTTTAAAATAATTTTAAATCCTACTTTTAAATTATTTTAAAATCCTATAGGGAAATCAGCTATGTATGTATGTTTGTAAATTAAGCTCTAACCATTTTATTAATTAAATGACTGTTATGAAGACCAGAGCAGTGTGTCATACCATGGGGATATAATGTACAGCATGGTGACTGTGGTCGGTAGTTAATAACACTGTATTGTATATTCAAGAGTTGCTAAGAGGGAAGGTCTTAAAAGTCCTCAACATGAGAAAAAGCATTTTCTGATTATGTATGATGATCGATGTTAACTACTAGACTTATTGTGGTGATTATAAAACTAAAACAAGACAGAGTGTCATGTTACACAGAGAAAGTGAGATCGAATGAAAAATCTTCTGGACCTAGATTTAATTGAACTCAACAGTAATCTCCAAGGCCACATTCCTTGAGGTAGCTTCAAGTAATTCTAATTTAGCTCCATCAGGGTAGGGGTCTCTTCTCTAAAACTGAGGTCCAGGAATGCTACCCCCTTGTTATCTCTCAGAGAAATCAAGAAGATTTAGATCTATGCATCAATATTTATTCACATGTAAACTTAAGCAGATTGTTTAGGATATATATTGAGTCCTCTAACATTTACATTAGTTGTATTACTAAAAACAAAACACTTAAAAATTAAATTCATTACAATTACAATGATATTAAATATATAGAAGTTGAAAGGGTGTTTAAATGATTACATTTTAGAAAATTTTGTATTTTCTTAAGTCTTAGGCTAAAACATGATCAAGACAAGAAAATATGTTGTTTTGACAAATATAGAATCTGAAAGTAAAAACTTTAACATTTATAAAAATGATTACATGTAAGAAAAATTTATAAACTATAAATTCTCCACTAAGTGACTGAAAAAGAGTACGTAATAAAATAAATCAAATTTTTAAAATTTTTCTTAAAACATAATCAGGCATCATTGAACATAGAAGCATGAAAAACTGATTATTGAAAACGTTTAAGTTTTCCATCATATTGCATTCTTAAATTGCAAATTCTTCTTTAATGTCAGAAGCCAACATATTAATATTGCTAACTTTTGAAAAATTTAGTAAATATAAATAAAAAGTTACTTTATGTAGCAAATAAAATAAAATACTAAACTATAGCGGTTAAAAAAGCAGTCAGAATACATGTTTAAGAAAATTAAGCAGGAAATTAAAATGGGGGATGTGCACACAAAGCAGACTTAAAGAGCAAATTTCTTTTCTTTTAGTAGTGCCATAGCACCATCTTCTGGCCATTTTGACATGACAACAGAATTAAAGAGGAGAGAGGGCATGAATTATTTTTTTTAATGTAAATACTCATACTTTGCATTGTAGCCTCTGATGCACACTTAAAAAAATAAATGAAAAATAGATTTTAAAAAGCATTGTTTTATTCATTAATTCATGAATAATTACCCTCAGATAGATTTTCCTGATCTACAAAATTTTTGCAATCAGTAGAGCAAAGATTGCTAATTATATATTCTGGAAGATATCTGAAGGACAAAACTACTCTTAATGAAGTACGCATTTTTAAACTGTATTTTGTAATTTTTATCTTATTGGAAATCACATTCCAGACTCTGTAATTTTTATCTTTTTGGAAGTCATACTCCTTTCTTAACAAAGTATATTTCCAAACATGAAAAGACATAGGAAATGCACATGAAGTCCCACCAAAATCTATAAAATCTAGCCACTGTTTCTAAATCATTTCATTGCAACTATCTCTACATTTTATCTAGCCATTATGTAATTGAATTATTTTGGTTTTGGATCTGGTTGACTGAATAGAGAATTTTCTAAGTATAAAGAAACATTAAATGTAAATACTATTATTCTTTTATAAAACATTTTGACTATAGTGAAGCTGGACTCATGCTCAAAAGTGTGAAACATTTCGAACACTTAAATAGAATCTTATTCTAAATTCTCTGCTAGTACCTAAAAATTCTGGCAAAAGAAGGGCAAGTCTGAATTATTATCTAATGAGTAGTAGAAAGAAATGGTTAGCTAGTCTAAATGGGAGTAATATCACCTTAAGACATTTTAGCATATGTACTTAAAACATTAAATAAAATATTTACATATAAAATGAATGGATAAAAATAGTATCCACTTTTATTTCTTCACCCAGAATACAAACCATCCCTCTTCAATTTTTCTCAATTTAAACACTAATAGATTAATATGACATTCTCTAAGCAAAGTAATTTTAATGTTTATGACTTTGCCTGGCACAATCTGAGACTTAATCTTCCTGTGAAACAGCTGTGTAATCTCTGAACTAAATAAAGTTAGAGAAGAGCTGTTTCTCAAAAATATTGTGAGAACAGCTACAGAGAATAACAATTAACGGTGTAAATGAAGTACAGTAAGTCCTTAATGTGTCAATAGGTCCTTGAAACTTCAGTGAAACGATTTATAATAAAATTAATTTCACCAGAGGCTAATTGATATAAACAAGAGTTAAGTTCCTGCAGCATCTTATCATTATAACAAAACAATATTGAGTGAAATGACATAATTTGAGAATCTGTTGTAGTGGTATGTTACATTACAATTTTCTTTTTCTCAATAAGAAAAAGATGAGAATTCTGATGGAAGCAACCTAAGTGTCCACTGATTGATGAGTAGATAAAGATACATATAATGGAATATTATTCAGCCATAAAAAGAAAAATATCTTGCCATTTGAGACACAGATGGACCTTGAAGGCATAATGCTAAGTGAAATAAGTCAGACAGAAAAATACAAATACCATATAGTCTCACTTATACATAGACTGTAAATAATAATAATAACTCATAGTTACAGACAACAGATTGGTGGTTGCCAGAGGCGGGGTGGGGTGGTGTGGGGGTGGGGGGGGAATAGATAAAACTTCCAGGTATAAAATAAGTAAGTCCTGGGAATGCAATGCACAACATAGTGATAACAGTTAATAATACTGTACCATATATTTGAAAGTTGCTAAAAGAGTAGATTTTAAAGGTTTTCATCACAAGAAAAGATAATTGTAACTGTGTGCTGATGAGGTTAACTAGATTTACTGTGACTGTTTCATAATACATACAAATATCTCATTATTGTGTTGTGTACCTGAAACTAATGTAATGTTATATGTTAATTATATCTCAACAAAAAAGATGAAAATTCTTGCTGAAAACAATGTCTTTGCAGATGTCATACAATTAAAATGTTAAAATCTTGCTGAAAACAATGTCTTTGCAGATGTCATACAATTAAAAAAAAAAACCATTCAAAGATGTGTGATATATAAGATTTTTCTCAGGAATTTGCTAATTAGAAGTATGTGGAGTTGCTTATTAAATGTCTTTTCTGGCTCTTAATCTCACCAGTTTCCCATGCCCACTCATTTGTCCATTAGGATTTGTCCTCTTGGATTTGTCCATTAGGACATCTTTATCATACAGTGTCACTGCAAAATTCTGCTTTGGAACAACTCTGAACTCCACATTTTCAACTGGTGGGCATGATATTCTAACTATTAGAGACAGTTGTTATACCATTCCCAATTTATGAGTTAGGACATGAGTCCACATTGTCCAAACAAAGTAAAGGCAAGATACTGAATGTCAAAAACTACGAAGAGTATGCCACATTCAGAAAAATAATGATGTGTACATACTCATTATTAAATATATTTCTTTGATCTGATGATTTATTTAATAGTTCATTTTTAACATAATGAAGCCATACTTACCACAGTTATTCATGTTTTGAATTTCCATCAATCTACTGATGACTGAAGACAGG